GATCATCTGCCAAGAACGTATATGAACAGGTCCCAGTCCGAGAAAAGGATGGAAGGATCCTGTTCATATGGACCTGTCGTCAGACAGAACACTAAAATAAATAAATAATAATATTACATCATTGTGTCTCACACTTATACAAAACTCCTCTCGTATATTAAATGAAAATGTGCTTTACCATTTCGTGTTCTTTTTTTAAAAATTTTGTGAAATTTAAGTCTTGTAGAAAGATGTTCAGGAAACACAGATCAGAGTTTAATGTGGATGTGTTCTTCACCCGGAACACTGTTCATATTCAGTGAGCCATAAATGAATAAAAACAAATGAAGTTTTAATAGACAGGATGCAGAGAGAATAAGTAGCAGGAAAGTTGAACGATATCGGAGCTCGGTTTGAAAATTCGTAAAAAATATTGAGCTTTATAAACGAGAAACGGGAATGTCAAGATACGCCACAAAAACCACTAACAAGTTTCTCATTCTACGGCTTTAAACCACCATAGTTGAACATTCTTTCCGTCCGCGTGATCCAAGAGCCATATCTAACATTTTTGACTGACATTTTTCAGTCGGTCTGCTATTCCAGTCCACGTAGAGAAAATTCAGCGAAATTACACATTTCTGAACCGTCTCATCCTAATAAGACTTACAGAATTTCAGTCAGAATCGGTTTTAAAGTTGTGGAAAATGTGTTAGGAGAAACGTTTTATTAATCTGAATAAAAGCTTAAGTAAAGTTTAGTCTGACCGACTAAGGAATATGGTAAGATGTTTTCTCATTACTTAAATCCCGTTTTACTGAGAATTTTTACCAAAATATTTCCCTCTGAGTAGCGTGTTACAATATTATAACACCATATAAAAGAATAGCTTTCAGCCATTTTTCAGTTGGCTTCACATCCTCTGTATTGTTATCTTTTAATTAGAAGCATTGAACAAAATCTCCCTTTTTTTAATTTATTTCCCCCACTTAATTCTTTCTTGTTTTCTTTGTATATTTTATTCCTTTATTTAAATTTTTTGTTTCATTTTCTTTATTTAGTGTTAATCTGTTTTTCATTATCTTTTGTGTACTCGGTCCTCATCTAAATTTATCTTTATTATCATCTTATACATCTTTATCTGCAGTCTTACGCGTGTTTCAGAAAATCTTTATGGTTTACAACAAACGCCAGTTGCAATGTCTGTCTTGGAAGTGTTGTGTGAGACTCGAATTTGTGTATAGGTTTCAGAAAACTCACCGCAAG